CAAACTAAATAACTATGTGTGTGTGTGTGTGTGTGTGTGAGAGAGAGAGAGAGAGAGAGAGACCCCAAACTAACTAACTACCCCGCCCCCAAAAACGACGACGACGATAACAATCAAGTGTCGTATCTGTTCCGATCAGCTTGATATCTGACCTGTAAACCGTTGGGAGATCTTTGAGGGAAAAAAAAAAAAACACACGGAAAAACAGCGAACGTGCGCGCGCAGCAGAGCAACACACACACACACACACACTCGCTCGCTCACGAGAGAGAGAGAGAGAACTTGGCTTCGAGAGGTTCGTCCCTTTCGGCGCTTCGCCCGCTGACGATCGACGTTCGCTTCGCTCGCGAGACACGGAGAGAGAGAGAGAGAGGCTCTCTCTCTCTCTTTCTCACACACACACACACACACAACCTCCTGCTCACTCAGAAACAGTCTGCCACGGTCATGTTTTTTTTTTGAGTGTATAGCGAATATGATGACAAAAAAAAACAAAAAAAAACAAAACGAGCAGAGTAACAACAACAGCCCCCCCCCCTGTTCGTCCCTCTCCTCTGCCACAGCGTGCTGCGGAGCATGAGAGAGAGAGAGAGAGACTCTCTCTCTCTCTCTCTCTCACACACACACACACACACACAACCTCCTGATCACTCAGAAACAGTCTGCCACAGTCATGTTTTTTTTTTGAGTGTATAGCAAATACGATGACAAAAAAAAAAATGAAAAAAAAAAAAAAATCCGAGCAGTGTAACAACAACAGCCCTGCCCCCCTGTTCGTCCCTCTCCTCTGCCGCAGCGCGCTGCGGCGCGTCCACTTGTTGAAAAAAATTCAAGACAGAGGAGCACACCGGCAGAGTTTGCTGGCAGACGTATGCAAGAAAGTCCAAAATGTTAAAATTTTACAGTCAGAAATGTTAAAATTTTACAGTCCGAAATGTTAAAATTTTACAATCTTTCCTCTTTGGTTTTCCAACTCTTCTTTCTTCGGATGGATTCCTTGTCCAGAGGGCCTCCTACCGGCCTCCAAAAATGAAACTAACATTTTTGAGGGGGCGCCCGTGCCCCCAACCATTGTCACAAGCACCCCCTAAAAACAAAGAAAATCCTCTTTTGTTTTTCCAACTTCTCTTTCTTCGGATGATTCCTTGTCCATAGGGCCTCCTACTGGCCTCCGAAAATGAAACAATCAATTCTGAGGGGGTACCCGTGACCCCAACCATTGTCACAGGCACCCCCTAAAAACAAAGAAAATGCTTCCATGGGGCCCCACGCAACTCGGACATCCGGATGCAGTCTCTCCACATTGCAATCTGGTTAGTACGGCCAGGTAAAAAACATGCTACAAATCGAGACACCATTGACCTGCCAGGGACACCAATACTCTTATGTGCGCAACCCCTGGTAAAGGTAAACACTCGTTCAAAAGTCTGTGGTCCTCCCCTGAAGGCGTAGTCGATTCTGATCAGAGAGTTCCTTAAACTCCTTTAGCCTCAGAAGGCGGTGTTGACAAGCTCCCCAGAAGAGATCAGAGCCGAGACGACGAGGTCTCTTTTCGTTTTTCGACACACTGCCGATGGAATGCTGCTGCTGCTTTGAACGCCTTGAATATATGCTTTTTTTTTCTTTTTGATTTTTTTTTGCTTTTTTCTCCTGTCAGAGACCTAATCACAGTTTGCATTCTTTTCAGTTGTGGTTTGCTGGGTATGTGATTGTTCGGATTTAACTCGTCTGTTGTGTGTGTGTCACACGTTGCATACCTGTCTCCCGCTCACCACAAATATTCTTTCTCAGATGTCGGGAGATACGCAATTCTGTGATCGTGCGGGGGGGAAAGGGGCAGGCCGTGTAGTAAGATTGGGGTCTCTCTCTCTCTCTCTCTCTCTCACACACACACACACAGCACATACTATTTCTTTTAAAGGTCTCGATGGACCACGGAATCACGGATCAGATATGAAACTGATCGGAGCAGATGCTACACTTGATCGTGGGGGGTGGGGTGGCACGTAGTTAGTTAGATTGGGCTCTCTCTCTCTCTCTCTCTCTCTCTCTCTCTCTCTCTCTCTCTTGCAACACAGGTCTCGATGGACCACGAATCAGATATGAAACTGATCGGAGCAGATAGGTGTGGTGGGGAGTGGAGTGGCACGTAGTTAGTTAAATTGCTCTCTCTCTCTCTCTCTCTCTCTCTCTCTCTCTCTCTCTCTCTCTCTCTCACGCAACACATGCTATTTCTTTTAAAGGTCTCGATGGACCACGGATCAGATATGAAACTGATCGGAGCAGATGCTACACTTGATTGTGGGGAGTGGAGTAGCACGTAGTTAGTTAGATTGCTCTTCTCTCTCTCTCTCTCTTGCAGCTGATCATAGCAGATACTACACTTGATCGTGGGGGGTGGGGCGGGGTGGGAGTTGGGGTGGCACGTAGTTAGTTAGATTGCGCAATCTCTCTCTCTCCCGCGTCTTGCGCGCGCGTTTAAACCATCTCGACGGACCTCTCTCTCTCTCTCTCTCTCTCTCTCTCT